TTCGGCTCGGGTCATGATCTCAGGGTCGTAGGATCAAGTCCCGCATCGGGCTCTCTGCTCAGCAGGGAGCCTGCTTCCCTCTCTCTCTCTCTCTCTGCCTGCCTCTCCATCTACTTGTGATCTCTCTCTGTCAAATAAATAAATAAAATCTTAAAAAAAAAAAAAGATTTTCATATATGGTCAGTATCTTCTTAATGAAAGGGTTGCTGAATCTGCTGAAAAAAGCACACTTCGGAGAGTCAGCATGGTAGGAATTAGACCCAGAACCAGGAGAATTAAGTTGAATTTCAGTGATGTAGCCACTGATTTGCTCTGCCATTAATTTATAAAAGGCATCTACCTATCTGGAAAAGGTACTGAAATTGAGAGGAAAAATAAAAAGTCTGGAAACTAGGGGTCCCTGGGTGGCTCAGCTGTTAAGAGTCTGCCTTTGGCTCAGGTCATGATCCCAGGGTCCTGTGATTCAGCCCTGAGTCCGGCTCCCTGCTCAACGGGAAATCTGCTTCTCCCTCTCCCACTCCCCCTGCTTGTGTTCCCTCTCTTGCTGTCTCTCTCTCTCTCCGCCAAATAAATACAAAAAAGTCTTAAAAAAGAAAAGAAACCTGGAAACTACAAAAGGGAAAAAAAAAGGAAGTTTTTTTTTTTTAAGATTTTGTTTATTTATTTGATAGAGAGAGAGAGATCACACGTAGGCCAAGAGGCAGGCAGAGAGAGAGATGGGGAAGCATGCTCCCCGCTGAGCAGAGAGCCCCATGCGGGGCTCGATCCCAGGACCATGGGACCCTGGGACCATGACCTGAGCCGAAGGCAGAGGCCCAACCCACTGAGCCACCCAGGCGCCCTGGAAGTGTTTTCTTTTAATTTTTTTATTCGAGAGTGATAGACAAACTGGGGGAGGAGCAGAGGGAGAAGCAGACTCCCCACAGAGCAAGGAGCTCTACAGGGGGCTGGATCCCTGGACCCAGGGATGGTGACCTGAGCCGAAGGCAAATGCTTAGCCAACTGAGCCACCCAGGCATCCCAAGGAAGGAATTCTTATATCCTAAGTGAAGAGGTCAATAGGAGTTGTTTATCTGTTGTGCCATTATCTTCAGATCTCTCATTTTGTAACTCCACAGCTTTGTACCTTTGGTCCGCCTTTCTCCTCTTCTCTGCTGCCTCCGTGTTTGTTGATCCCCTGGCAAACCATTACCACTGCAGCCCATTCCAGGGTAAAGATGATTCTATCCTCCTCTTCAAAGAGGCTCTGTGTCCTTGGCCTGGCTAAGGCCTGTGCCTCTCCAGTAAGCACTGATATCCCTGTTTTTAAAAGGTCAGTTTCACAGACGTGTGATTTTGCATCTAGTAAAGGTGTTTGGGTGTGCAGCTGAATTATAACAACTATGCATTCCTGTACCCGACACTATCACCACAGACTATTTCCATCACCTGTAGAGGTGCCTCTTGTTCTTTAGTAGTCAGTATCTTTACCCAAATCCCAGCAACGAGCAACCAGTGACTTGATTTCTGTCCCTGCAGACTTTTTCCATTTCAGCGATTTTAATAGGCATGCAGTGGTATCTCACTGTGATTTTGAACTGTATTTCCCTAACGACTTAATGATTCTAACATCTTTCATGTGCTTTTATTACCATTCAAATATCTTGGATGAAGTATCTTCCTATTATTGTCCATTTTTACATTTGATTGTTTTCCTGTTATTGACTTTTGAGTGTTTTTAATATGTACTGCATACTAGTCCTTTATCAGGTTTGTATTTATAAATATTTTCTGTTTGGGACTTGTCTTCATTTTCTTAATGCTTTTTGAAGAAGAGCTTTTAATTTTGATACAGTTCAGTTTATTAATTTTTTCTTCAATGGATCATGCTTTTGATATTGTACCTGGGGTCTCTGCCCAACCCAAGGTCACAAAGGTTTTTTTCTAATTTTTCTTCCAAAAGTTTCCTTAATTCTAGGTTTTACTTTTCAGTTCTATGATGCTTGTCAAGTAAATTTTGGTTTAGGGTGTGAGAATGGGTCAAAGTTATTAAAAATTTTTTTTGACACATGAATTTCCTATTGTTTCCAGCATCATTTGTTGAAAAGGCAAACCCTTTGCAACTTTGGGAAAAATCAATTGATCAAATGTGTTTGAGTCTATTTCTGGACTCTTCTGTTTCATTGATCTATGTGTCTATCCTTTTATCAATATACATGATGTTGATGACTAGAGCTATCTTAGAGTCTTTATTTTATTTATTTTTTTCAAAGATTTTATTTATTTATTTGAAAGAGAGAGAGAGATCACAAGTAGGCAGAGATAGAGGGGGAAGCAGGCTCCCTGCTGAGCAGAGTCAGGCCCAGGGCTCAGTCCCAGGACCCTGAGATCATGACCTGAGCTGAAGGCAGAGGCTTAACCCACTGAGCCACACAGGCACCTCTCCTTTTATATTTAGATCCTGATTTCTTTCAACAGTGTTTTGAATTTTTTCGTGTATAGATCTTGGACCTGTTTGTTAGATTTATATCCAAGTATATGATTTTATTTTGGTGTTAATATAAAAGATGACACTTCCAAATTTCAATTACTTTTTATTCAAAAAATATATTAATAAAATTGATTCTATAAATTGTTGACTGCTTATCCTGCAACCAGGCTAAAATCAATGATTCTAGCAGCTTTTTGGTAGTGTGTGTGTGTGTGTGTGTGTGTTGTGTGTGTTTCTTTATAGACAGTCATGTCATCTGCAAATAGTGACAACTTTATTTCTTCTTTTCCCATTTGTATGTACCCCCCACCACTTTTTTTTGTATTATTGGACTAGCTAGGGCCACCAGTATGATGATGAATGGAAGAGGTGAGAATACACATCCTTGCCTTGTTCTAGATCTTAGAAAGTCTTTCACTTTAGTCTTTCACTATTAAAGATGATGCAAGCTATAAATTATTTGTGCACAAACTTTGTGAATTTGAGGAAGTTTTAAAAAATTCCTTTCTTAATTCTCAGTTTGCTGAGTTTTAAAAAAATTTTTAAAAAGATTTTATTTATTTATTTGACAGACAGAGATCACAAGTAGGCAGAGAGGCATGCAGAGAGAGAGAGAGAGAGGAGGAAGCAGGCTTCCCGCCAAGCAAAGAGCCTGATGATGCAAGGCTCAATTCCAGGACCCTGGGATCATGACCGAAGCCGAAGGCAGAGGCTTTAACCCACTGAGCCACCCAGGGGCCCCATGTTGAGAGTTGTTGTTATGAATGTTAGTTGAATTTTGTCAATTACTTTTTCCATATTTATTGAGATCATCATATTTTTTTTCTTTTGTTTCTTGATATGATGAAGTACATTGATTTTCTAATGTTGAACTAATTTTTCAATCCCAAGATTTGTTAATATTTTATTAGGATTTTTTTTCACCTATGTCCATGAAGGATATAAATTTGTAATGTTTTTTTCTTGTATATATATATTTTTTTCTGGTTTTGGTGTCAGGATAATGCTGTCTCATAAAATGAACTGGGAGGAATTCTCTCATCTTAATCGTCTGAAAGACTGTATAAAATTGATACTATTAAATGTTTTATACAGTGTGCCAGTGAAACTATCTGAGTCTGTAGTCATCTTTGTGATAAGGTTTTTAACTACAAATTCAATTTCTTTAATAGATACAGAACTATTCAGGTTATTTATTTTCTTTTCTCAAATAAGCTTTGTTAATTTGTACCTTTTAAGGATTTGGTCATTCATCCACCTTGTCACATATATGGTGATAAAGTTATTAATATAACTTTGATATCCTTTTTGTTCTGTAGAATCTATAGATGTCTCTCGCTAGTTCCTGATTGTAATTTTCATCCTCCCCCACCTTTTTTGATCAGACTAATAGAAGTTTATCAGTTTTTTTTTTTAAAGATTTTATTTTTTTATTTGACAGACAGATCACAAGTAGGCCAAGAGGCAGGCAGAGAGAGAGGGGGAAGCAGGGTCCCCGCTGAGCTGAGAGCCCGATGTGGGACTCGATCCCAGGGCCCCGAGATCCTGACCCGAGCGGAAGGCAGAGGCTTAACCCACTGAGCCACCCAGGCGCCCCAGAAGTTTATCAGTTTTAATGGCCATCTCAAAGGATGAATTTTTCATTTTATTGATTTTTCTCTATTTTTTGTTTTTAATGTTCTTAACTTCAGCTTATTATTATTTCCTTTCTTCTGCCTGTGTTGGATTTAATTTGCTCTTTTACTAGTACATACTATTTTTATTTTTTAAAAGCAACTTTATTGAGGTAATTTACATATCATAATATTTACTGATTCTCAGTGTGTAATAGTTTCTGGTATACTTACAAAGTTATACAACCATCACCATAGTCTAATGATAAGACAGTCTCATCATCACAAAGGGAAACCATGCCCATTAGAAGCCACTACCCGTTCTTTTCTCCCCTTCCCATCCTAAAACAACTACCAATCTATCTCCTGTCTCTGTAGACTTGCCCATTCTGAAAAATTTCACATAAATTTTATCATAAGGATGTGATCTTTTGCGTCTCATTTCTTTCACTTGGTTCATCCGCACTGTAGCATGCATCAGTAGTTCATCCTTTTTTTTTTTGCTGAATAATATTCCATTTTATGGATATACCACATTTTGCTTATTCATTCATCTTTTTTTTTTGGATGGGTACACAGGAATTTTTATTATACTATTTTTGTGTGGTTCAAAAATTACACAAGAAAAGTTTTTTTTTTTTTTTAAGTTTTTTGAAATTGTGTAAATAAAGGGAAACATACAGATAAATTTTAGCACTTCCCGGGGCTTGAGACTATTCTCTCACTCACTCTATTGTCTGGTATAGAGAAGGTGGTCAGTTTAACAACATGAAACAAAACAAAACAAAACAGAAAAAAGCAATCAGCTTTTATTGACCAGTAAGACCCCTCTTACTGGTCAAGGTATTAATTCCCACCACAGCTTCATGCCCGATCACCTGGCTCTTTCACACATACGCAATCTTACACTTTTCCAATGAGTATTTATTATTAGTTAGGCCATGGTTCAAAACCCCAGGGTGGGGATCACCATGAACCCAGGTCCCCCTTCACCACCCTGGGAGAGGGACGGAGGACAGAGGAGAGGTGGGAGGGGCCAGTTCAGATCTTCCCAGAAAATGTGCCTTCTGCCTGGCAGTTGTCCCAGGGCGACACCCAGGATATGGGGCAGAGGGACTTGTACACACACCGGTACCATTCACACACGAAGATATCGCCCCCTTTAGCAGTCATTACCTTCTCACAGTGGTGGAAGTCCAGGTAGTTCTGCCAGCAGTTCCTGGTCTGGTTCTGGTTGGGGAAGGGGCTGTCAAAAGGGGCAGTCTGGTAGTTCTTGATTTTGGTCTTGATGTCTTCTGCCATGGTGCTGACTCTAAACACAGCACAGCAGCACCTCACAGCTCAATGTGACCCTCAGCCTCATTCATCTGTTGAGGGCCATTTGACTTCACCTTTTTGGCTCTTGTGAATTATGTCACTATGAATGTTGGTGTACAAGTATCTGGTTCAGTCTCAGCTTTCATTTTGGGGGGGGGGTTGCGTACCTACAAGTAGAATTGCTGGATCATATGATAATTCTTTAAATTTTGAGGAACCACCAAACTGTTTTCCAAAAATGATTTTTTTTAGATGTAAAAACACCTCATATATGCAAGGCACTGTGCAAAGAATTTTCAAATATTCATTTATTCTATTGAGCCTTCAAATGCTTGTTTATCGAACACCTCCTAAGTACTGGACCCTGAGCATGCCGTGCTGAATCAAACAAAATCTTGCCTTCCTGCAGTTTAGTCTGATTGTTAGAGATACTCAAGCAAATGGATTTTACATGGTAATGGTAATAAATGCTGGAAATGAGTTTTATGTGGGACAATGAGAGCATAGAAAAGGAATTTAATTTCATTGGGGAGGTCAGGGAAAGCATTCACAATGGTGTGTGTATGACTACTGCCTCTGTCTAGTTCCAGAGCATTTTCATTGCTCCAAAAGGAAACCTGCACCCATTAAGCAGTCACTATCCATTCTCCCTGTCCCTGGCAACCACCAGTCTTTCTATCACTATGGAATAATCTATTCTGGATATGTCCTATAAATGAAATCATACAATATGTGGTCTTTTGTGCCTGGCTTCTTTCACTTAGCATAAGGCTTCCAAAGTTTATTCATGTCGTAGCATATATCAAATCTCATTCCTCTTTATGGCTGACTGATATTCCACTATACGTATATACCACAATTTTTTTTAAAGATTTTATCTATTTATTTGACAGACAGAGATCACAAGTAGGCAGAGAGGCAGGCAGAGAGAGAGAGGGGGAAGCAGGCTCCCCGCTAAGCAGAGAGCTCAATGTGGGGCTCAATCCCAGGACTCTGGGATCATGACCTGAGCTGAAGGCAGTGGCTTTAACCCACTGAGCCACCCAGGCCCCCCTATACCACAATTTATTTATCCATTCATCTGTTGATGAACATTTGGGCTATTTCCACCTTTTGGCTATTGTGGTTAGTGCTGCTTTGAACATTCATGTGTAAGGATTTGTTTGTCTGTTTGGCGGTTTTCTTGGGTATATACCTAAGAGTTGAATTGCCGGGTCATCTGTTAATTCTATGTTTAACTTTTTGAGAAAATGGCAAACTGTTGTCCACATTTGCTGTACCATTTTACATTCCCACAAGCCATGTACCAGGTTTCCAATTTTCCACATCCTTGCCAAGACTGTTATTGTCCGTTTTAAAATTTATTTATTTATTTATTTGTTATTTTTTTTATTGTAGTCTTTCTAGTGAGTGTGACATAATCTCTCATTGTGGTTTTGATGTGCATTTCCCTAATACCTAGTGATGGTAATCATCACCTTCATTAGTTTATTTGCCACATATATTTCTTCTTTGGAGAAATACCTATTCATGTCCTTTGTCAATTTAAAAAAATTGTTTGTCTCTTTACTGTTGATTTGTAGCAGTTTAAAAAAAAAAACTTTTTATTTATTTTTTAAATTTCTTTTCAGTGTTCCAGAATTCATTGTTTATGCACCACATCTGTGTTCCATGCAATACATGCCCTCCATAATACCCACCACCAGGCTCACCCAACTTCCTACCCCCTGCCCCCCCAAAACCCTCGGTTAGTTCCTCAGAGTCCACAGTCTCTCATGGTTTCTCTCCCTCTCTAATTTCCCCTAACTTACTTCTCCTCTCCTTCTCCCAATGTCCTCCATGTTATTCCCTATGCTCCACAAGTAAGTGAAACCCTATGATAACTGACTCTCTCTGCTCGACTTATTTCACTCAGCATAATCTCTTCCAGTTGTAATAGTTTTTATACACTGAAGATACAAATCCTTATTATATATGTGATTTGCAAATGTTTTCTTTCATTCTGTGGGCTGTTGTTTCACTGTTTTGAGCATATCCCTCCATGCACAAAAGTTTTTAATTTTGCTGAAGTCCAAATTATCTATTTTTGTTGTTGTGTTTTGGTGTCATATCTAATGATTTCCTAATCTGAGATCATGAAGATTTAATCATAGGTTTTCTTCCATGAGTTTTATAGTTTTGGTTTTTACATTTGGGTATTTGACTTACTTCACGCTAACATGGGAGTCCATCTTTATTCATGTGGTTTTCAGTCACCTCGGCACCATTCATTGACATGAGTATTTTCCCCGTTGAACTGTCTTGACGTCTTTGTTGAAAATCAATTGACTGTAAGTGCAAAGGTTTATTTCTGGCTTCTGAATTCTATTCCATTAAGCTACATGTATAATTTGGTGCTAATACCACACAGTCTTAATTACTATAATTTTATAGTAAGGTTTGAAGTCCAGAAATTCCAAACTTTTTTCCTTTTCAAGGTTGTCTGGGCTCTTCTGAGTCCCTTCTATTTCCATATGCATTTGAAAACTGCTTGTCAATTTCTGCAAAAAGACAGTTTGGATTTTGATAGCAATTGCATTAAATTTGTAGATCAATTCAGTAACTATTTCCACTTTAACAATATTAAAACTTCTAATCCATGAATGTGGAATGTCTTTTATTTAAATCTTCTTTAATTCCTTTTCATATTTTGTACAAGTTTTATTTTTTTGATAAATTTATTCCTAAGTATCCTGCTATTTTTAAAGCCATAGTAAATTAAATTGTTTTCTTAATTTCACTGTTGAATTGTTTATTGGTAGTGTTTAGAGAAACATATGCTCTTTGAATATTGCTCTTGTTATCTTATAAGCTTGCTGAATTCATTCATTAACTGATTTGTTGTCGTGGACTTGTTTTGGATTTTCTTTTTTTTTTTTTTTCAAGATTTATTTATTTATTTGAGAGAAAGAGAGAATATGAGTTGGGGGAAAAGCAGAGGGAGAGAGAGAGAGAGAGAATCTCAAGCAGATTCTACACTGAGCGAGGAGCCCAATGTGGAGCTCTATCTCATGACCCTGAGATCATAACCTGAATCAAACGCTTAACTGACTGAGCCACCTAGGCACCTCTGGATTTTCTATATACAGGATGATATCCTTTATGAATAGTTTGCCTTCTCGTTACAAATTGGATGCCTTGTGTTTCTTCTTTTTCTCTTTCTTTCTTTCTTCCCTCTCTCCTCCCTCCTTTTTTTCTCTTTCGTTCTCTCTCTCCCTCCCTTCCTTCCTTCCCCCCTTTCTTCCCTTCCCTTTTCTTTCTTCCCTTCCCTTTTCTTTCTTTCTTTCTTTCTTTCTTTCTTTCTTTCTTTCTTTCCCTAATTGTCCTTACTACAACTTCCAGGACAATGTTAAACAGCAGCAGTGGATTCAGTCAGCCTTGGTCCCGGTCATGAGTAAAGCTTTTAATCTTTTCACCATTGACAACAAATGTGGATTTTTTATACATGCTCTCTATTAAGTTGAGGAAATCTCTGTTTCTATTTTGTTGAATTTTTTAAAAAATCATGAATGGGTGTTGGACTCATCATCTTTTATCATGAATGGGTGTTGGATTTTGCCAAATGCTCTTTCTGTTCTTTGAGATGATCATGTGGTTTTTGTCATTCATTCTTTTAAAGGTATATCACTTTGATTTTCAGATATATTAAGCAAACCTTGTATATCTGGGATAAATTCCACTTGGTCATAGTATATAATCCTTCTTATATATTGTAGGATTTAGTTTGCTAGTATTTTGTTGATTATTTTTACATACATAATTATATTTGTCTGATTTTTTTTAATGTTTTGATCTTGTTTAGTATTAGTGTAATACCGGGGAAATGGAATGATTTGAAAGTGCTCTTTCTTGGGGCACTTGGGTAGCCTGGGGTGGCTACCTTCAGCTCAGGTCATCATCCCAGGGTCCTGGGATCGAGCTCTGTGTTGGTCTCTCTGCTCATGGAAAGCCTGCTTCTCCCTATACCTCTGCCTGTTGCTCTGCCTACTTATGCTTTCTATCTCTCTGTCAAATAAATAAATAAAATCTTAAAAAAAAAAGTGCTCTTTCCCCCCCCCCCCCCCCTTGAAAGAATTCGCTAGTGAAGTCATCTGATTCTGGACTTCTCTTTGTGGGAAGTTTTTAAATTAAATTAAAATTAAATTTAATTAAGTAATTTATTTGGAAGTTTAAAAAATTATTTATTTAATCTCTACCTGTTAGACATCTTTCCAAGTTTTCTATTCTTTTTGAATCCATTTTGGTAGTTTGTACCTTTCTAGTGGGTTACCTAATTTGTTGGCATACTACTGTTTACAGTGTTCTCTTATAATCTTTTTTATTTTGGAAGGTTGGTATTAATGTCTCTTATTCATTACTGATTTAGTAATTTGCTCTGCACGTGGCAAAGATTACCTTTTCTATTATTTTAAGTAATATTATTTAAGTAATCTCTACGCCCAACATGGGGCTCAAACTCCTGACCCAAAGATGAAGAGTCAAATGCTCTACTGACTGTGCAAGCCAGGTGCTCCTCATTTTAAAATCAAGACATTTTCCAGTGTATAATGCATTTAAAATGAGAATAGTAGACATACTACATGCAATGCCATAAATTTGCATCCATCCGGTTTGTTAAAGTGTAAGAATTCTATACTTTTTCTTGTGTACTTCCTACCAGTCTTTAAACTTTTTCTTAGCAATGCCTTTTCACACAGAAGCTTATTAGCCTTTCTCTTCTCTGCCTCCAGTATTATGTAACATCAATTCATCACTCAAAGATGATTTCATAATACAAGACCATAGGTCTCAAGGGCCAAAGACTTACAACGTAGTAGGTGTTACAATGAGTAAGTTGTTTATCTTGAGCAGAAAGAATGACTGTGGTCCAGGGAAGTTCTTAGGGGAGGTGTATCTCTTTTTATTGCCTCTCCAGTGTGTAAGTAGGGACAATTCCTCAGGTAAGAGCTGCCCCAGAAATAGGTCATGGTTATC